AAAATGTTGTTCAGATACCACAGGTAAGAATAATTGTATATTTGACTTGTTATTTAAACAGATTCATTGCGAAATAATGTAGTGATTGTGACTGTTTACTTGAGCGAAGTGTGAAAATATTCCATTGAATGTTTGAATTTGCCGCGTTTGTTTTGCATATAAAACATGCAAATGTTGCTTTCATGCAAATGTTGATTAAAATATAAATTCATATCTATTGTTGTGAATTCCGTACTAATTTACGCACTAATATTAACAATTTGACAATATTAAATTGCCTTTGACATTGGCAGTTTGCTAGACCTTTCAAATGTCAAGACTCAAGGCTATATAGTGATATGAAATAAGATATTATACATACGGATGTTTTTGAAGATCTGTTAGCATTTTAATACTTGAATAAGGATTGGAATTACAGGAGAATGACCGCATTTAATCTGATATTTTCAGTGTATAGATAGCTGAATAACTGAATTGCATCCTACTTTATTGTTTACTCTGTCTAATGCCAGAGGATTTTCCTACTTGCCTTGCCGGATAACTTGGCTACTGTAGAGAATGTTTAGTTTTCCCGACTTGTACTTACTATACTTCACCCGGGAAACTCTGCAACCCTAGATAGAATGTATATGCCTTTCATTTAACATATTAGCCCAAAAATACATACAAATCATTAGGTATATTTATAGCTTTCCTCTATTTCTAGCAGCTTATTCTTGCCTATTTTGTAATCATGTTTTTTAAACCTTTTGAATGATCCAAATTGTGTTTGTATTTTGTCATTGAGCAGCAATAATGGGGTAACTTGATTTCATATAAATAGACTGCTTTTTTGTCCTGCCTGAGTGAGTAACTCACCTTGCCGGGTAACTCGCCTACTGATGTACTGATATCCATATTGGTGTATCAGTCATCTTTGAATTTCGTAAAATGACATGTATTATCGGTATCGGCAAAGTATTGGTCTTTTATTAGATATCAGTTATCAGAATATCTGTGAATTTCCATATATCGGTGCATCACTAAAACAGTTCAAGATTGTGTTTATATGAGAAAATGCCATTCTGCTCGCCGGGACAATTTTGTTATGTTGACATTGTTTTGACAGTTGTTAAAAATAGGTTGCAGCTCGGCATCTTGAACATTCATCCTGGCCCAGCCTGCTTGTGAGTGCATATGTGGAGAAATTTTCATCCCAATAAGCAACATTGTGGCATCAGAGCCAGCCTGCTTGTGGATCCATATAAACACATGATAATTTTTTCTAGATAAATATACCTAATGCAGTAAGATCTTGCTTACCGGGCTGTCCCGCAAAGCGGTCCAGCCCAGCTTCCATATAAATACATTGTACAGCTGGTTTAAAGAACCATGAACAGCAACCGGAAGTAAACTATACTGTCAGTAACTGTGTGATATGGTATTGGACAAATTATTACATTTCTTAATATTGCAGCTTTGGTGCATGAATAAGAGATAATAGTCTATTGGGCACTTGCCACAAGAAAATGATAACTGAATCCAGGACATCTGTATCTGCCTACAGCCATGTCTCTGCTTAATAAAATTTATATAAAACATATGTAGTTTAATACTCCCTCTTTCGTCTTCTACCAATATGAACAGGTGATTGGCCGATTATAACAATAAACAATAAACCCTTTGTATTAGATAAGAATGATATTATATTATAAATAATATTAAATTAATTATATAAATGAATTATATTATAAGTAATAAGTCATAAAATTAATACTCGTCTATCTTTTTAACATAGACAGATTTTCATATTTTTTACTGTGGTGCATGGTGCCAGAAATTTTAGGGGGGAGGGGGGAGTGAGCCGTGAGCAGGTGACTGAAGCATCACAAAGTGTCACCATACCCCAGTAAGGTCTATATTCTAGAGTTGGAGCACTAGAGATGTGAGGGGGAGTCTAGAGAGCAGAAAACAAAGTATCCCTGGTCAGGAGAAATTTTAAAAAAATCATGATTCCTAGCTTTGAAAAATTTTTTGAAGTGGTCATATCAATGGATTTGGCATGTCCGATTGTCTGATGAGACTTGGGAGTGTTAAACGTAAAATGAATCTAATAGGCCAATACACAATATGCTTTTACCAGTTTTATAAAGTCATTGACATTGTGTTGTTTGAATCCGAATACATTTTATGATGCAACTCCGATGTAAATAATAATTGGGGCATAAAGATTAAATCTAGGCAAGTCTATTTCCTAAAAGAATTAAAAACTAAAAATAATGTTCATAAAAAATCCAAATGTTCCTTCCGAGCAAGCTATTTGTATGAGAAGGCACTGCAAACTCTATTCAGGGGAGATAATAGTGTTTCAAAACTTTACAATTGCTCCAATAAACCAGTGAATGCACTGTCTTTTTCTATTTGAGTGTACTCCTACGTTTATTTTATATCATCAACACTCGGCATGTTGGAGTGGACTATTTAATTATTTTTTATTATGCCAAATGTTGGGAAGGGGGGTGTTGAAATAGTTTTTTGGAGGGGTGGTCATTTTGTTTTGGGGAGGAGTTATAGCTAATATTAGGGGGGGGTGTGCTTTAGGGAGGGGGGTAGCACCACCCCCCCACAAAATCCGTCTATGCTTTTTAATCTAGTTAACTTAGGTAACTGAGGAGTGATTCAGATTAGCAAGCAAGTCTCCAGGTCTATTGTTCTTGCAATTTTGTATATATATATAGCTATTTCAATTAAGGTTGTCCCCAAGCAAAGGAGAAAAGTCGAATACAAGCACAAAAGGCTGCTGAAAATCGCTAATAAATTCATTTATATTTCTGTATACACCACATATAATACTTAGAGTGATGCTTACATTCTCAATATGTAAGTAAACTTTTACAGATTACTAGCTGTATAAGGATGTATATATGATGGATCTCCAGTGCCATTTGCATGATGTGTTTGGAACAGTGTTTAATGTGCATTATAAAGAAATCTATGGACTTTGAACAAACGGTTTGTCAGATACTGTAATATTGCTTGTCATGTGGAAAGAGTTGAAAAATTACTGCTTCAGGTCTTCAGGAGAACTTAAATTTGCTACAACACATTCCTGTGCAATCAGAACTACACCTAGTTGTGCAACAGTGCAGCTGAAAAAAGAACTTGTATAAATTAACAATAATTTGATGTTTTGTATGATACTCTGCGTGTATATCCACACCCGGCAGGCTAAAAAGTTAGCCTGACCATGGTGGGAATCGAACTTGCAACCTTTGGGACACTAGTCCAATGCTCTGCTAACTGCATATACACTCAGAGTAACATCAAAAACAATATTCACCTGAGTACCTGTACATATAAACACCCAAACAACACATTCTTAATAAGAAAATTCTTTTTAAGAAAAATTTCTTGATTTGGGAAATTATTTTCTTAAAATAAGAAATTATTTTCTTATTTTAAGAAAATTTTCTTATTTCAAGAATTTTTTTTCTTGAGAGAATAACAAGAAAATTTTCTTAATAAGAAAATTTATTTTAAGAAAAATTTCTTGTTTTGAGAAATTATTTTCTTAAAATAAGAAATTATTTTCTTATTTTAAGAAAATTTTCTTATTTCAAGAATTTTTTTTCTTGGGAGAATAACAAGAAAATTTTCTTAATAAGAAAATTCTTTTGAAGAAAAATTTCTTGTTTTGAGAAATTATTTTCTTAAAATAAGAAATTATTTTCTTATTTTAAGAAAATTTTCTTATTTCAAGAATTTTTTTCTTGGGAGAATAACAAGAAAATTTTCTTAATAAGAAAATTCTTTTTAAGAAAAATTTCTTGTTTTGAGAAAATATTTTCTTAAAATGAGAAAATATTTTCTCAATTTAGGATTTCGCTCAAGAAAATTTTCTTAATAAGAAAAATTTTCTTAAAGTGCCTATGCAACGAATTTTTTACCTCATTTTTTATTGTTTTTCTAAAAAGTACTGCTGGAGTGATGAAGAATGACGTTTAGAGTTTCGTCATATCTCATCTCATTCTCAAGTTATCAGACTTTCTATATTTTGAGTTGTGACGTCACAAGTATGAGTTGAGATAATGGCAATGACAAGAAAGTATGATATCTTGGTGAGTATTTAATAAAATTCAATGAAACTTGGTACACTTAGTGGGTGCACTCATATGAATATTTTGGGTAGGTCACGTGGTTGTCATGGCAACACACTAGTTCCCAGTCTCTTCTCTTCCTTTCACAACTTTCCTCTCGTAGACCTCTTCCAGAGGATGTTTACATATTATAACGGTTTAAACTGATCACAATACCTACACGTATTCTAGTAATAAGCGAAAATTGTAGAAATTGCTATTTATTTCGTTGAAAATGGATCATATAGAAATTGGAAGAGAAGGGACTGGGGACGAGTGTGTTGCCATAACAACCATTTCAACAAGGGAAATTGTTGACTTTGTTGCACCCACTAAGTGTACCAAGTTTCATTAAATTTTATTAAATACTCACCAAGATATTATACTTTCTTGTTATTGCCATTATCTCAACTCATACTTGTGACGTCATAACTCAAAATATAGAAAGTGCGATAACTTGAGAATGAGATGAGATATGACGAAACTGTAAACGTCTTTCTTCATCACTCCAGCAGTACTTTTTAGAAAAACAATAAAAAATGAGGTGAAAATTTCGTTGCATAGACACATTCGTCCACGTTTGTTATTTATACAAGATAAATTTCGCCACCATATTGGATTTTTGTCGTTTTGATTTTCTGCCCCCCTCCAGCCATCACGAAACTCATTAATTGCACTCCAATTGCAATCTTGGAGAGTGCAATTAATGAAATAATTGCACTCCTCTTAACCAATCAGGTCGCAGTAATTTTGTCATGTATATACAGTAATAATAATGTTAAAAATATTAATGTTTGAACAGGGATGTTTAAAGAAAATTGCCACATGTATTAACCCTTAATTAAATTTACAATTTGTGCTGAATATCAACATAAGTGATTCTGGATGGCAAATGGTGAGTTATTTTGGTCAGCAAAATACTGATCAATGCATACTTGTTTAATCATCGCGGCACAATTTAAATTTTTATTTTTTAGGAGACAGCGCTTATGGAGGACGGTTTTTATTTGAGGACGGCGCTCTTTATTAATTGCTTTAATTTACCCTATAGATATTGACGAATGTGGAGGAAATCAAACGGTTTGCGACCAAATATGTACGAATACAGTGAGTTCCTACTTTTGTGGATGTCACGATGGCTTTTCTTTAGATTCAGATGAAAGAACTTGCAGTGGTAGGTTTATAGTAAACAACGTAACTGAGTAAATTGGTCACAAATAGCTTAGTACACCAATATAATAGAACTGATATTTAGATTAAAAAAAATATTTAAATTGAAAAAAGGATTGACCCATCTAGCTGAATAAGAGACAGTCATCAGCCTCGTTGACACATTCTCACACTAATTTGACGGACATTAATTTGTATGGAATAAAGTGTCTAGCTACTGCGAACACTTCAAAGATGATGTCCACTCCTGTGCGCATGCGCGAACTTTGTTTGCGTTTTGAACTGCTATATTTGTAAAATATGATATATTATAACTGAAAATCTAACACTTCTCTGTTTCGCTATGCTTTTCAATGGAAATAAACTCTACGTTTCAATTCAATTCAAAAAAGTTCGAAAGATGCAAAATTTGGACAATGTTTATATCTGTGGGTCCCCCTTTCAGTATGAACAGAACTGATGCGTAGAACGGAGTGGAAATCAGCATTAATCCCCCCCCCCCCAAACACTATACACTTAATGTCTGCTCCCGAGGGAAATAGTTTGTTTCGTTTTCCCAAGACGAAACAAAAATCAACATTCAACAACATTCATACAACAATTCTATTTTGTGACAATAACTCTATAGTGTAAACGAGTTTAATTAAAATTAAAAGAACCTACTTAAACGGTCTCAACAGCATATCCTGTTGCCTGTTGTGTATTTTTCTTCTCTTTTACATTCTTTATTTGAACACTAACTTGGAAAATCGTAGTTTCTAATTATGCGAGTGGTGCCGCTATTTTGTCTATTCATGTACGTAGATGGTCGGGGCGGGCAACAATTTTTCACTTGTTGCCCGGCGGGATACACTGCATTTTTCTAAAATCACGTGACCACGAATCAGCCAATCACGTCTGGTGTTCACCCTAGCTATATAACAAATAAATTAATGTTTAAGGTAATTCGATTTTCAAAAGGTAATTCAAGTTTTCAAAAACTTAACTGTCGATATAACGGTACGTCCGATCCGTTCTATAAGCATCGTGTTTTTAAGTTTTATGCAGCAGATATCCGGTTTTTCATCTATTTAATATTTATTCTTTCCAGTTGCGTTAGTTTTGGTATCGCATTGCATGCATATATTTTATTTTTATATTTTATTTTTGATATAGCTGTTGACAGACTTTTGCGGAACCATGCATGCAGCGTGCAAAATGTATACATGACCATGCTTTCATAATTAGTAACAACTAAACATATGTCATCTGCTATGCAATTAATATCTTGTATACTTTTTAAACCTATATATAGATATTGACGAGTGCTCGCAACCGAACAACTGTAGTCAGCTGTGCAATAACACAATCGGCTCATATGAATGTTACTGCAGGATTGGATTTTTAATCAGCTCTGATAACCCCACAAGCTGCACAGGTAAAATATTCAAAACATTTCGTATTCTGCTTTATTATCTGACACGATTATTATACATGTGCTGTGGCAGAAATATCAGGTGGCGAAGCCAAATTCTGACAATTCGATGTTAAGGTAATTCCGCAGTAATTGTTCCCGAAATGAGAATGTGCTGACACTTCCCAGGCTTGTAGTTAATGATATACCTAAAGTAAAATCACAGAAAAAAGTCGGGGTCACCGAACTCGTTAAGATGATATGACAATCACAATATACCACCTTTACCCCAATATGGCACCATCTTGACGTTCTTTACAAGTAACAACAAAATCACAACAGCCCAATATTTATTGATACTTTTTGCGCGGATTTTGCTTTTGTAAAGTTATCTTGTAATTATTTTTTGAAAAATATTGTGTTTTGAGCAAAATGAAACTACTAACTTGTACAAATTCTGATCTATAAATGTCTTTTCCACATTTCTTTACATATCTTTCTTGGAGAACATGCATTGATAAAGGATTTTTTTTCAAGATCCAGAAATGATTTTTCTTTTAATTTCGGATGTGAAATGTAACATGCATTAAAGAAATAAATTATAAGTTAAAAAACGGGGGTCACCGATCTTTTTAGGGAATGCAAGTAAATAAATATACTACAGACACACGGAACCCTAGCTACACTTTTGTATGCCTTTTTTGAAAACATTGATTTTAACTTAATTCTTTGCACGAATGTAACCAAAGATGTTTTGAAGTAACATAAAATTGTCATAAAATGATTTTTTTAAACGGTATACGTATAATAGGTGAAATTATAAGTTATACGATGTGCGCAGTAAAAGTGCGCGATGCAAAACTGCGGAATTACCTTAAACCAACTGCATTCCCGCACAAAATTGAAGATTCTCTCTGACTTTTTTAAGACAAAATTTCTGACAAATATTCAGCTTTACGTACTGGCAAATGATGATTTGCCAAAAATATTTATGTAATATTTAAAATACGAGCAGAAGTGTTTTATAAGATATAAAACACGCGAGCGAAGCTCGAGTGTTTTATAAGTGATAAATTAAAGCACGCACTGCGAGTGTTTTTTAAAAATGGCTTAATATATATGACTAAATGTCAAGCTCACTGGCGAAGAAACTTCCAAAATAAACGTCGTCGAAGGTATGAAAATCAAAGCAAAAGTTTATGTAAATGAACAGAACTTTTTATCACATACGAAACCACCGACACAGCAGTGATTTCCCTTGTCGTCTCCTCATAAATTACTAATGCGTTTTTAATACTTGTTTTTCAAAAATCGGGAAATAACTATAAGTCACTTTGTTTTCAGCAAAAGTCCAGTGCGACGCCAATAATGACTGTGATCAGATATGTTACATTGATCCTCTTCAAGCCGGACAAGAAAAATGTGATTGCAATCTTGGATATAGTCTTCGAGAATCAGATATGAAGTCGTGCGACGGTTAGTCAGTGGTGTAGTCCTCAAATATTAACAAGGGAGCTCTCCAAAAGTGTCGTCAATTGGCGGGAAGGGGCGGGGGATACAATATGATATTTTGGAAATTCTAAATTTTGTTGGGGTTTATTCCAGTGAATTGTGGGCCAAACATTCGACATTATTCTTATTAAAAACAATTGCCATTAGTAATATAAAATATTTTGAGCGTCCCAAAAGCGTAAGGAATTCAAGATTAGTGTACTACTTTTTGAAGATATAAAGCCGGTGGTGTACCTTCAAGCGAAAAATACATTCAGTGGTATGATTGGTTAGCGAAAAAAATTGCCATGAAAAATAGGACGCGGTGAATTTCCCTTCACTCCAAGCAATTTCGCGCAGTGGGAAAGCGGGGTTCAGAAAATATGAAAATTTCTGGCTGGGACTGTGACTTTGATTTCTGGTCTAAATTTCCCACACTGCTAACAGCCTAATATTTATAAACTGTAACATATATTTTGAAATATCTTCGGGAAAGCTCTTTAGTAGCAGCTGTATTATGTATATAAAATCAACAAAACTGAAGTGATAATGCTAAGGATAACAGTTCCGTAGGAAGCTCTTTTTGATTGGGGAGAGAGCTGAAAGCGAGGGCCAAAGGCCCAAGGAAATTTTTAAATTTAGAGTTTCTGAAATGCTATTTCAATTCCTGGACTTTGGGAATATTTGACAGAATTCTGATGGTCAGAAAACAGCGTTTTAGTATGTCGAGATTTACAATTTAGTTGTACTAAATGGTCGAAGGCGTATTAACTATATATTGAACAAGTTGCAAGAAAGTATGGGTAACATCATCGTTCTTTGCAGTTTGTCATTGATAATGTAGCCACTTAAAATTAATCAATGTCAGTGTTTTAAAGGTATATTATTTAAATGATAGAGGTCTGCATGATTTTGAAAAAAGAATGATTATTAGCAAATTATTGGGGGGGGGCTGTAGCCCCTCTCCCCAGTTGTTACGGCCCTGGATAGAGTGTAAATCGGACAAAACGTTGTTAAGATTATGCAACATGGAAAAATATAGGCGGGGGCTCAGTCCCCCAAGTCAACATGAAATTTTAACAAGGGGGGATCAGCCCCCTGAGCCCCCCTCCACTACACCCCTGCGGTTAATTAGTTCGTTGTATTACCACGTTATTAACCGTATTATAATGTTGAAGTCCAGTTAAGGGTTGAAGCCTATGTAGTATGTTATCATTTAATTTCTATTTTTTAATTATTTTAATAATTTTAATATTTTTAATACTTTTAATTTATATTTTTATTATTTTTTAGGTTTTTTTGTTAATTTGTTGTTTCGTATTATTTTAATTTTTTTTATTTAGCCTTTGCCTGTATAATTAATATCAGGTTTTAGGCGACTGGATATATAATTGGATACATGGTTCAGAATATGTACAGTACGTTCACGGAATAATGTTCAATTATTATCTTTCGCTTCTTAGACATAAATGAGTGTCAAAGTACACAAGACAATCTCTGTGATCAAACATGTACTAACACAGCAGGCAGTTACACTTGTTCATGTTTGGCAGGATATTCATTCACAAGTCCAGCTACTTGTACAGGTTTGTACTCAATATTATTCCTTCATATAAACCACAATAACTGAAACGGACATGTAAAACAAAAATCGTGTTATTCAAATAATAGAAAAGAGTTTCACAATGAAAGTTTAACTTCATTTTGCTATTACTTCTTTACATTTTCATATTTGGGCCGAGTTTTGCGATAATTGACTATAGGCAAAGGTAATTTTGCCAAACGCCAGTTGCAACGCAACAAAAACATTGAAGTCACTTGAGTAATTTTAACAAAAATATCTGAAGACTCAACAACCCAGCATATGCATGTTTGTTTGTCTAAATTTGCATTTGAAGTAAACCTCATGCAACTTATATCGGAACATTTGAAAGAAAAATAATATCGAAAACTATACATGTTAAATCAATTTACGATTAATTACAATGAGGTAACATCATAATCGTCGCGTTTTCTATTTCCAATGTAACCTTATAATTATTATCTGAACTTCCAATCACCAATATGGAGCCAGTTGTGCATGCAAAGGCTAGATAACGGCTATCCTCAGGATAGCAATTTTTTCAACCGTCGTAAAAATGCTTGTGTCTGTTATTCCCACTCTCAGAAAGCCATTGTATATAATAATATTAAATATTTTTGTTTTATACCTTCAGATATAAATGAGTGCCTTACTGGTGACTTTGTCTGTAATGGAATAGGAGAGGAATGTGAAAACATTCGTGGAAGTTACAGATGTGCATGTTCTAAGAGATTGAACATGGTTAGAGTTAATGGAACGTGTGTTTGTAAGTACAGTAAAAAAACTAACAGCAGGACATGTCTGTGTTTTTCAAGATTTTTGGGGTGAAAGCGGAATATTGAGTACTGAGTTATGAATTAGTTAAAAAAAGAACATTTGTGGTAAGAGTATGAATATTTGAGGTAAGAATGTGAATATTTCGGGTGGGAACATATAAATATCCGTGCAGAGAACACCGCAAAAAATGAGTACTTTGGCTTAAAAACTTGAGTAAAATAAATAATCATGACTCAAAATGAGTAAAAAGACTCAAATTGATGTTGTAAACTCACTCACAATCAAAAGATGGAGTAAATTTGCTCATGTGCTTGAGTAATGATAGTCAAATTATTAATCACTGTTATTTTACTCATATTTGTGTTGTGTTTATGAATTTAATTAATAATAATTTGCAGCAAGTATTGACTAATGCAGGAAGAAATATATAGATATTGAATGTTCAAGCTAGTAAAAATATTCCGCTTCCATGCACGCCCAAAGTATGCAACCAGTATGTCCGATATGTGGACTGGACTAGATTTCCGACTATGTGGACTGGACTAGATTTCAAGTAAGTCCGTGCAATTTGATCAAGTCTGAGGCGAAGCTAAGTCTAGTCCAATCTAGTCCAATCGGAATGGACCTTTCCCCTTATAACTAAAATTTCGATCTAGACAAAAATTTCATCACAGCTTGAAAGAGCATCACAAAATTAGTAATATTCCAAAGTTTTGTTGCAAAATCTTGTAAAATGCGGATAATATAGCCTTGCGAAGTTTGCCGTTTTTCAGTCATTTTGTATTACAAACGGGAAATTGACATACGATTCGGGTGTTGGGGCTGCAATTTCCCGTTTGTAATGCAAAATGACTGAAAATTGCGAACTTCGCAAGGCTCTATTTTCCTCATTTTACAACATTTCGCAACGAAACTTTGGAATATTACTAATTTTGTGATGCTCTTTCAAACTATGATGAAATATTTGTCTAGACTTGCCTAGATCAAAATTTTGGTTATAAGGGGAAAGGTCTATTGGAGGATTTGAAATGACATCCCATACGAATAAATCACGGCTACTTAAATTGAGGAGAATTAACTTTGAACCAGTCCAACGACTGAATTAATTTTTAACTTCACCAGGTATCGAGTATTATCAATTTGCATGTGAGCAAAATAAAGCAATTTGGTTGGCTAATTTGCTCGTGAATTATTAACGATTTGAGATTGTTAGTTACGAACTAAAAGAGAAATTCTTTCTCATTTTTAGTTAAGGAAGACGACAGTATTGTGGCAGACTTAGCTCCAGCACCACCAAGTGCTACTGTAGAACAAACAAATAATTCCGTTCAAATAACGTTGGCCAACTTCCAGGAAGTAAATGTGAGTTTATAAACGTATATGTATTTCTGCCAATCAGCCTGATACAAGAGTCTATTATTATATTGGTCTGAGGATATAGTCATTAGAAAAAGGTCTGAGGATATAGTCATAAAGAAATTTATTAAACAACCATCTCTAAAGCTTCATCTCTTTCAACGGAAAAACGAATTTAGGCCTATCTATATCTTTTCCCTATCCTATTTCATATTACCAATGTTTTCATTTTGCCATTCACATATTAAAAGTGCTTGTTCATCAAAACCAAATGGTAATAGCACAAAAGTACTACCTAATTTACTGTGTTTGAATAAGATTTTTAATTATTAAGCCTAAATCTAAACCTGTCTTAATTGCATCTGCATTTTGGCCACCGAATTCGCAAATTGATTCCTTGATAAAATTGAAGTATTATTTCAAAACCTTGACAACGAACATAAAGAACTAATTATCGTTGGCGATTTAAATTGTGATTTTTTATCCAAGAATTTAAGCAATCACACTAAACTCCTTAATGATATAGTTAATATATTCCAGCTGACACAGTTGATTGACCAGCCTACACGAATTACCGAAAAAACAGCTTCTCTTTTGGATGTCGCTCTTGTAAACAATCCTGAAAAGATTTCGCACTCAGGAGTATTCGTTGTGGGGTTCCCCAGGGATCGAACCTTGGTCCACTTTTGTTTTTATTATACGTCAATGACCTGCCAAATTGCTTGGATAAATCCTGTCCGGCAATGTATGCAGATGATACAAATCTTACAGTATGTTCAAATAGCATTAATAATTTGGAGGAAGCACTAAATTCTGAAATGAAAAATATTCACCAGTGGCTTCTTTCAAACAAGCTAACTTTAAACATTGAAAAAACAGAATATACGATCATTGGAACCCGTCAAAGACTAGCTAAAATTCAAAAAAATACTAGCGTATCATGCGGGGGGAAAATATTGGAACAGGTTTATTTCAAAAAGACTTTAGGTGTACTGATTGATGACAATCTATGTTGGAATGAGCAAATCGACAACATCAGTAAAAAGGTATCGAAGGGCATTGGTATGCTGCGCCGTGCAAATCCACTCGTCTCTTTTGAAACTCTTAAATATATTTATCAGGCTTTAGTGCAACCGAGTTTTGATTACTGCTCCATGGTTTGGGAAACTATGGCGAAGGTTCAAAAGAGAAGCTACAGGGACTACAAAACCGTGCGGCTAGAGTAATCACAGGTGATACCTATGAAATTCGCTCCACTGATATTTTAAAGAAATTAAATTGGAAAACACTCGAAGAGAGAAGAAAGGAGCAAAAATTAGCATATGTGGCCAAAGCCCTTTCAAACCAATGTCCTGAAAACGTTTCAACTATGTTTAAAATCTCAAATTCTGATAAATATAATTTAAGAAGGCAATAACAAGATGCTGATGTTGTCGAAGTCTAAAACAAATTCAATGAAAAGGGCATTTGGATATGCTGCTGCTAAAGACTGGAACTATAATAGCAAAAATTTTAAATCTACTTAATTCATTTGTAATATATAAATTTAACGTATCGCTTCGACCCAAACATTTCTTAGTATCTTTTAATATTTTTATAATAGTTTATATAATAGTATTTCGAGTTTTAATTTGTATTTAGTAACACGGCCTAATGAAAAACAACCTTTATAATTTTTGTAAATACTGATATGTCATATGGTTGATTAGTTACCGTGTATAAAGATGTTGTAATAATAATAATAATAATAATAATAATAATAATTCTCATATCACATTACAGTATACCTGAACCCGTGGAACTGTTTCGGCTAAATTAATACCCCTCACTTTCCACAAAAGCCCTTTCTGCAATAATAGTTGAAGGATCTTGTTCATGGAAATTATCGTGTGGAAATTTACATATACATTTACTATAGACCTATCACCAGGAACAGCTGCGAAAAATGCAACTATAGGTCCCTGGCAGGAATCGAACCTGCTATTGCGCTGCTAATTAGTAATTCCTGCCAGGCACCTATAGTTGAATTTTCGAAGCTGTTCCTAGTTAGATCTGCTAAATGTATATTAATTTCCACACAATAATTTCCATCAACATAGCCCTTCAACTATTATCGAATCGAATAAGATGCCAAGAAAAGCTTGATATTTTCCCATAACATGACCTTTCTCCTATATATCCCTCTAAATCAGGAAAGTAGCAGCTCCCAGTGCTTAAGGTTACAGAACACCTTTGAGTGTTAATTTTGCCTAAATTTTTTTTATTGGTTTCAATGAAAGCATTAGACTAGTTCTACTATCTGACCAAGTTTGAACGAAAAATGTTGAAAACTCGCAGAGTTATTTAATAAAATACATTTCGCTGCAATAAGAAAAACATTGGAAATGTAATATTCAAATTCAATTTTCTCCCGAAAAGTTTTACGGTGATTACTGATTTTCAAACGAGTTGTGCTCCTGCGGGTTTTAACCAATTTTTCTCAAATTTTCACAGGACATAGCTAAAGACGTCAGTTTCAAAATTGTGTTCGGCTTTTTTTTAATTTTGGATATTTTAAAAATAAAGAGCAATTCACTCAAACAATTCAGAAATATATTGCAGTCGTCAAAGAAATCGCCATATCAGCGGAATGACGAAATAAACAAAAATTTCCGAACACATTTTTTAGAACAACTATTTTACTGTATAAAAATGACATTTTCATAAACATAACTTAAAACCAGCAGGAGCACAACTCAAAAGCGTTACGGTACCACGATTTAAGATTTTCCTGAATAATTCTTACATTATTTTATTGTTTGTTAATTTTACAACTTTACCATATTTTGCATGCACTGGAGAACATTTGGTGAAAATTTGATGAAAATCGGACTGATATTGAGCGCGCAGTAGCGATTTTCCGCAAAACGCCAAAAAGGGTGTCATGTAACCTTAAATAATTCAACCAACACTGAAACACAAACCTTATATATAATAAACATCTTCCGTTCTCGCATTTGTTTAGTACACCGTGGATGCTGATGTGCTGTTTAAAGATTCAGTGGTTAAATTACTTAATGACTTTTGTAATGAAAACTCACTTAGACCTCAAGATTGTGGGGTAGAACAGTAAGTTCATGAACCTTGTCACATATGAAAGTTACACATTGTCACAAAACGGCCGCGGTTTCAAGCACATCAAATAAACATATATACTGCAGACCCCTTAGCTTTTTTTCAAGAAATTATTTTAATTGTGACTCTATGACGACACAAATGTCACAACAATATATCATGCTAGCTGCACGTTTAAAAATCATAATTGTTAAAACTGTTTTCGTTTGGGCTAGAGAGAATAGTTTGTGGTAAGGGTGAGATTTTTAATGGCATAAACTCTCTATATTGGGATTTATATATTACAAATACATGAACTATTTACCCCGAATAATTATCAACGATGCATTTCATATTATGTCTATCTAGAAACCAGTTATTCTTCAGTGAATTAAACGTTAAACGGCTGCCCAGTTACCCCAGCAATCAAGGAGATGACGCGATTATCCGATTCTACGTCTATTATCCAAGCATTGTAAGGAATGGCACTGTTGATAAAGCTATCTTAGCATCTATTGTGTCTGCCGAACTCCAAAAACTTCGAGATCTGACCGGTTTCAACATTACACTCAACACTCCAGTTACACCAGCAAGTCCGGGTACTCCGACGACTACTCAGAGAGATAACGCAGTACAGCTTCTAATATCCAGTTTTTCAACAAGTCAGGTAACTATGGTGTTGCAGTGTATAGTTACGAGTCCAAATCAAAATAGTAGATATATAGCAGATGATACAGTGTCTATGCGTTAGCATACAGCGATTTCTCAGCCTAGCTATAGTTAATAACTTGATATAATTTAATAAATAAGTGTAGTTTACAAACTAAAAAAAGAACTATTAATAGTTCCAGCCAAAAATCTGCCTATGACCATCAGAAATCCGACGTATTTCCAATTTGTCCCCGAGCCAACGGCGCGGAGCATTGTATATATATATATATATATATATATATATATATATATATATATATATATATATATATATATATATATATATATATATATATATATATATATATATATATATATATATCTGGAACGATAACATTCAGTCATTTGATTGTGAAAACAATGAAGCCTCGATACCAGTCTTTCACGCGGATTGGACGTCAGTCTCAGTCCCTCAAACGTCAGGTTTACGCGGATTGGACGTCAGTTTCATTCCCCCTCTGCAAACCGTTGCACGGCCAGTATAAATTTGAACGCAATCACGAAAAAAAAATTAAAAACATGGCCAACTCAATGCAATACATTGTAGGAGCAAACTGTTTTGCTCCTAAAATTTACTGCATTGAGTTCGCTGTCGGAAAAAAAGTTGTCAAATATATTGTGTCGTTCCTGGATGCACAAGGAAACAATACGGAAAGAGATATTCTTGCGAGAAAATTTCATTTCACAGGTAGGTAAATTGACTTGCAACTGTGACTTTGCCGTTGCCATTTTTCGCGATTGTTTGAATTGTTTTTTAGTTTATCAGTTTTATAGTTTTTAGTCAATACACTGGTACGTTATTTTTTTAAGAATTTATTGTGTGATCGGAATTTGCCTGCCAGCAAAGTGTAAATGAATATGTACGTGTGTTTGAATAGTAAATTAGACCATATGGGCTTAGTAAAAAATTATTTTAATAACTACGTTTCGGAGTATAACTCCATCTTCAGGTTAAAAGTGAATAAAGATATAAAAACTGTGATAAAAACTTTCAAAACAATTACAAATTTTATATGTAAGTGATTTTTAATACTGTAAGAAAGTTCTTGAACAGTTGATGACGAAGACAATGACGAATACTTATGTCGTGATTTTTTTGTCGGCTTCACTTTTCGCTCGCTGTTATCATTCCAGATATATATATATAGAGTTCACTGTATCAATGTAAAGGTATCTCTTGTAAATTAATAACAAATATTTAATTTTAAACAGTATAATAGCCTGTGGTTTTTAGCTAGCCCATATCTTTGTTAATTGTGGTATTTTGTGCCTTGAAAATTAATTAAATCCTTTGTATTGCTACAAAATCACTGCAAACTGCTTCATGAAATTTCAAGGAATTTTCAAGGAAATAACATATACAATCTAAGGAATTTGGGGAAATTTTGGTGACAAAAATGAGAAATTTTGTTTTTAAAAATGGAAGCACTGATTCGAGCTTTTCAACGGTGTATCATGCAAGAAAATCGGTCAGAAACTCGCAAAGTTTTTCAAGTTTAAAATCTTAGTTTTCCAAAAATAATGAATAATGGCGATTCTGTTACAAAGAAACATTTTACAGCAAGTTTTAAAAGCAAGAAAAGAAGAGGTTTCTGAATCAACTACAACGAAAATTTGGCATGAAAGGAAAGCGAATGTATTGACGTTTTGGGGCCAAGTTTTTCTGTGAACCATGCGCGAGATTTTCAGCCAAAAAGATGAGGATTTCTCCAAACTTTATTAAAAATAGAAGTCGGAAATCACAAGAAAGATGAACACGGAATACAAGTGAGCAGATACGATTTTTTAAAGGGTATTTTTGAGTAGAAATATGCGATCAAATACTCACAAAATTCGACTGCATTAATGTTGGTTGAATCTAGTTTAAAGTTATCTTTTTAGACGAACTGTTTATGCAAATTTGGGCACAATTTTGACTGTTTTCGTAACCCCATTGTTGGTCTTCTTGTTCAAGTTGTTATTTTAGCTAAAGTATGTTTCAAACGACACCAGATTAAATTACTGTGTGCGTACGTGCCCTATTTGGCAAGAATACTTCAAGTATTAAATTACACTAAGTAAGTAGGGTACTCCAAAATCACTGTTATATCTATTTTCATCAATTTAGTCTTAAAATGACAACTCGTTTCAGACATATTGTGGTTTGAAATAAGTGTATTGAATTAATGCGCTTGCTTGCCGCGTGTGAATTCTCAAAAAGTCCGCACTTGAGTTCTAAAGCTTTTAAAATGCTTTTTATATTGGGTTTTATATCCCCATAAAACTTTAAATCGATAAGGCAGATAGTAATGTTGATCCAACCTCATTTTCTAGTAACTACATGTTGAATCAGAAGGAAAAGTTATCAAAATTTGGTTGCGACGGTTGTTTGCCGTTGTTGTTGCTTCTCTCTGAAATGGCTTCCTTTGCGGGAAGCCATGAAACTGAAGTCCCACCAAAAACATAATTTAGCCGTCCTTTCGGGCCCATTGCTCGCTTATTTATCATGAAATCGTTTCACTAGAACATTTTTAATAATGTCTATGGGAAACTTTGTAATTTTCTGAACTAAAAGTTTATGGTTTTGAGGTGTTTATTTTATAAAATAGCACGCGCGACAAAATGGCACTAATGTGGTTTCTCATGTCTGACAAACAACCAAAGATGAAAGTCCTTATTTCACCCTTTTATAGCTATGTTGAATACCTGACTATTAGGTTATCTTTTTCATTTGAGCATACAGATAACATTTCTACACAATTAGTCCTAATGAAAGCTTATTTCAAACTAAAAAACAGCGATTGTTTTTCAGAGCCAGACTTCAAAAGAGAACGCGTGTCTGACATTTTATAGCAGCCTACATTGGCGCGCAAAATAATTTTGGCTAAAAACCGTTTCTTTCCAAACAGAAACATGAGAAAATTGAGCTAAAAGGCTTACCTGATGTATGTTTAAAATGTTTTTCTCTTTATGGTGTTTTTCAGTGCTTTGAGTAGAGAAGTGAATAACTTTTGGTTTTGTCACCGCAATTTGCCTTTGAAAATGTCGGCTGTCATTGTCTGTGTTAAAAACACCTCAGAAAATTCCTATTTTCTCACCTTCCCATCCTTGGTTTACATTGAAAACAAATAGATTCTAGTACCGTATGTCCTTTTAAATATATTTGAGGTAATTAAAAACTCCAAAGATGTACAAGCACTGTGTTTTGGCTTGCACACTTTGTTGAATTTTAACACTTAGTTACTGTTCTAAATTTCATGTTGTAAACATCTTGCCCAAAAAAGCAAAGGAGTATTTTTTATAATTTTTGATCATTTTCTAATTCATATCCCAATAGATGAAAATTGGTTATAATATACATGGGTACTAATTTAGTAAATAATTTTTTTTTGGTTTTTATATAAATATATGGAGATATTGCCCCTATAGGTGATGAGTGACATGAAAAAAATAGTGTCACTGGTTTACAAATAAAAATTCTCATTGAAAAAACTAATGATATGTATAGGTATGCAAGTTCATTTAAACTAAATTTGGTCAATCATATATTAATAATGTTTGGTTGAAAAGACCAGATTTTTTCATGCAACTATTTCTGAGATATTGCTATTTTGGTGAAAGCTCTTGAATTCAGTCACGTATTCGCCATATTGCTTGCACGTTAGGGGGTAGAAACATTGTAACAGCTTGCGCGTTAATGAGTTAAACAGACAAATGTTTCATTAGCAAAATTGTCGGTTTTGTTTAGTAAAGAAGCGCCGTACAGCCATCGGACATAATCACGGATGTGCAATGTCACTGGAAAAACAAACCGCAGAAAAATTGTATTTTTGCTCGTAAAATTTTCCTAGGTCCAATACTTACCCAAAACTTTTGTATTCGATAAGATTAAGTTGTAATATATCCAAAATACAACATTAGCTAAATGGCTTTTTAGATAAAGCATGTCTTAAGGTTCGAAATCCATCCAAAACTTTTGTACTCTATGAGATTAAGTTATGATATATCCGAAATACAACATTAGATAAATGAACATGTTCTAGATCAAAGTGAAATATTCTATTTACCTGAATTCTGGACAAAACCTAAACAAATCTGCAGTTTTTGCATGATATTTGACCAATATGCTGCTAATAATTGCAATATAGTGAGATTCTTGCAATCTGTCTATTCGTTCATGCGGGATTCCTTACATTTTATTAATATTTGCAACAAAATCCAATAAAATCGAGAACTGCAGCATTGCAAGAAATTAGGAAATTTTAATGAAATTGAATGATCTTGAAGCAAATGAGAATAGCAATGCAGTTTACTGTAAAATCACATATATTTAGCAGGAATGGGAAATTATCTTGTTGACAAATCTTTAATATAATACTATATTTTGCAACCCGAATAAAAACGATGACAAAACGGAGAAATTTTTCCCGATATTCCTTAAATTTTAATTTAAGATTAAATTTGGCATTGCATTTGCAGCAACAAGCTGACAGTTTGGGACTGCATTTGCAGCAACACAATGTTTATAGAGGTGTAAGCCACAGACAAGGTGTAAGTGGCAACAGGTTTGTTGTTTGCTGGACAATGACAAACAAGTTTGAATAAAAACATATATAGATGAAATATTGGAGTCCCATAGAAAATTGATAACCTAAGAGGGGGAAGAGGGGGATGGAAAAGTATCAAATTACATGTTTCCACTTCCGCACCTCACACTTCCACTGCAAGGAGTGACCGTTCTATACAATCATCTTTGAGAATCATATATACTTCAAAATACTTGCTAAATTGGTTTCTGTTTGCTTTTAAATTATACAAACATGCTAAACTGTAGATTCTTATAGCAACAAACAAGTCAGAAAATCAAGCAACGAAAACGTATGATCGTATATGCTTGGAAATATTTGCCCTTTTATTGTATTGTCTCGGGGTTCAGGCGCAGTTTCATTTCACGCGTACGTTTCTGCATCTGGCTCTGGTTAAGATACGTATAATATTCTTATAATGTGCCATTGAATTGTTGTCATATGGAAAGGGTATAAATTTTGTTAAATAGAGGTC